TAAATCATATACCTCCCAAAGAAAATCATATATCATATCCTATATATATCAAGGAAAATATGAGAAAAAACAACTTCTTTCCTAATAGTGATCAAAAGACACAAGGAACTGAGGCCTATATGATTATATGATTGTACAAAAATGTATGCACATGCATATGCAATAACAATCAGGCTGTGAGACGTACACACAAAACACATGCAAACCAAAAACAAGCAAATATATACTCACACTCACTCTAAATGCTTAAAAATCTATTAACTAAAATCTGTAAACCTTTTCACTGGCTCTAAGACATGAAAAATGAGTGCAAGCATTAGTAACTTCATGGATCATGTAAGTTAAATCAGTCGGACACTTTAAGTCTACAAATCCCATATGCATCTCACTATTATGCACTTAGATAGTAATTATAATCTAGACCCATTCTCCAATAAAAACTTGTCATCAGTATCATTTCCAACATTGTTGCTACCTTTAAGCATTGGAAGTTTATACAACTAATCAACAATGTCTTCAGTGGAGAATATAGCATAAAAGAATTCATCATCATTGTTGAGTTTAATGCATATTAGATTTTGACTAATGAATTTCCTCTCTTTACTACTCCATAATATATGAAAATAAAATACTGTTGTGAAGTATTTCAAGTAAAACAATCAGCACATAACGACTTTAACATAGTTAAACTTTATTAAGAGCTCATGGCAAATACTAGCATGAAAATGTCATGTTTCTTAGATATGTAATTCGAATTACTGCAACATTAATATGCACTATCTGTGACATTCATATACAATTTTATATCTTTTGCCTTCCCTGGACCTATCCATAACAATCAAAAAGTGTTACCTTTCTCTTAATGTTCTCAATGAGAGCTTCTTGGCCACGCAAAAAGTGTGGGTGAGCAAACTCCATTTCATCTCTCTCCAATCTCAGGCCTCCAGAGTCTGCTGAGACCACCTTGTGAAACCCATCTAATAACATAAAAAAAGAGAGAGAGAGAGAGAGAGAAAAAAAAAGATAAGTTTCAGCATGTTCAAAAGGAAATCAAAATGTACATATATCAATACAAAGAAATAATATATGGATGAAGTTTCAAGTAGTATTATCACAGTATACACAGCAAGTACACATAAAGCACATTTTTCACATACATTTCTTTCATAAAATTGCAATAAATTTAATATCTGCAAATACATCTTTACACATAATCTTGTAGATCATAACAAGATTAAAATATGAAGCTCAAAACAGCCAATCATTACGAAAGCCATCACTGACTGCAAAAAAAAACTTTAACTTCAGAGATATTAGTTCATGAATTAGTATACAACAGAAAAAGTACCAATCTATACTCTTGACCCCCCCCCCAACAAAACAAATTACCATTTTCTACCACTGAATCAAAGAGCCCAGTTCTTTCAAATTATTAAATTAAATATTTACAAATACCTAAAAGTTACTCAAAACCTCAAACAAATCTGATTACAATTATAACATAAAATATGCAAAAAAAAAAAAAAAAAAAAAAAAAAAAAAAAAACTCCAATATTCTTACACATGTTCAGCTGTCTCACAAAGCTTGCCATGTTGTTGTGCTTGTAGTACTGTGGAAGAAGATCTCGGGAAAATCTGGCCTGATTGCGAATGATAAAGCTTCGTCCATTCTGGAACAAATATTTAAGAAATTAGCTTCATGTAGGCCCCTAACTAAAATGTATCTTTACATTTTCATACATAAGATAAATAGAAACAATGCTATCCTCAAACTAACAAGAGAGATATAGATACTGAAAACAATGTGGAAAAAAGTATAATATATATATATATATTAATATATATATATATATATATATATATATATATATATATATATATATATATATATTTATGTATATATGTATATATACTTGTATATAAATATATTATACACATACATATACATATATATAAATATATACATATATGAATTATATATAATGTATATAAACATACATAAACATATAATATATATATATATATATATATATTATATATATATATATATATATATATATTATATATATATATATATATATATATATATATATATGTATATATATATATATATATATATATATATAGTATATATAACAATATGTGTATATATATAATATCTATATATATACATATATATGTATATTAATATATATATATTATATATTAGTATATAATATTTATATATGTATATTTAATATATATGTATATATGTATATATATGTATATTGTATATTACATACATATATGTATATGTATATATATATATATATATATATTATATAATATATATATTATATATATATTATATATATGTATGTATGTATATGTATGTGTATATGTATTATGTATATATGTGTATATATATAATATATATTATATATATATATATATATATATATATATATTATATATATATTATTATACCACACAATATATATATGTATATGTATATATATAT